ATGCACAGGCTGTAGTTACGATGACTTCCCGACCTGCAGTGTACTCTGTGCAGGCTGAGACACTTGACAGCCGAACGAGGGCACACGTCCAACGCCTTATGAGCCGGCGTCCACAGTTGTGTTGGGAAAGGCGTCCCAGTGACTTGAACCATGCATGCCTTAGTGGACCGTGAAGTTGATAAGTCGGTTTTGATCGTTGTGTTTGGCCGAAAACCAGACTGTCATCAGTGTGTGCGCACAACTTAGTGCGAGACGCCGTGGTGTATGAAGCGCTTGCAGTGGGGTAACGTGACAACAGCGCGAATGCTGGCAGCGTGGAAAGCCGATAAGTCAGCCTTACCTTATTTCCTTCAGCAACGACTTGCAGGCCACATGGAGGAACATTCTGACGAACTCCTCTCCGTAGTTTTGCTTTTTGATAGGTGGTCGTACTGAGGTCGACAGCCAGTAATGACGTGCCCGGCACCCTTGTTTAATGTCTACTGCCTCTAAGTCATACAGATTCGCAGTGGACAGTCTCAGAGTCGCTGATCTGCAGATACTTGACCGTGTTCCACTCAGAAGTGCGTCCACATAGTCGTAGATGTCCAAGCTTCATTTGAACAAGTCATCCCTCGGCCGATGCAACATGGGCCACTATGCACGCTACCCACACCACCTAAACTTGCACCACAATCATATAAACGCTGCTGCCACCACCCCCTCATTATGGGGCCTGACTGGACAACATTTTCATTAAACTTTCCTTAGCCACTGATACACGAGGCAGTAATTGGTGGTTCTGCGCATACTACATTTCCCGAATAGGCGCTCTCTGTGTTTTCCAACAACTTGGGATTTTGGCTGGACGCGGTCAACACTAATATTGGCCAGGATAAAGCCCTCCTTCTGGCGACTTCTATCTTTTCTAACAACTTCGGATTTGGCCTGATGATTGTAGTCAACTGAGCACAAACACAATTTAAACACCACAACATAAGAAGGTACATGGTAGCAGGGACGGAGTCATTAACTGGCCTTATTTCGACAGTGGCCACTGCTCCTTCAGTCAGCAACCGGAATTTCTGTACGTAAAACATTCCTTCTGTCTTCTTCAACAACTTGGGAGTCGGCCTGATGATTGTGACGACCTGAAGGCAAACACTCCCCAGCCACCATAGCCAAGTAGGTCAAACAACAACCGCCTTGCCATGCAGTGCTCATCTCTGTTCACTAATCCAATTGCGTCAGTGTGTAATTTGTGGCACGCGAGAGTGGAGGAGGTCAAGCGTGGTTAAATTTAACCTCTGAAACGCCAGCTAGTGACTGTGTAACCTGGTCCACCGCCATTCTCTTCGGCGTGCTAACATCAACGCAGCCGCACCGTGTCTGAAAGACAACAACCTTGTCCTAGTGACTGAGTCCCATGAACACGCCACACGTAAGTGAAGATTTTAGTTGGGTAACTCCTATGCTAACAAGCGGGAGCTGGCTGGCCACGACTGTCGATAAGTTTATCTCGTGAAAAGGTGCTCCGCTAGGAAATAAGTCAGTTGACACCCCGCAACCTTCCGGATTATAGCACTTTAGCCTCGCCTCCTTGGTACATTATCAACTTTTGATTCCTCATTGATACATAACCGCCTAGACACGAAAACAACGGAATTAACTATATACTCTCTATTAATCAGGACTACCCGATAAATATCACCCACACACGGGCAGAGCGTTAACCCGCAGCTACCTGGTCAGCCCTCAAATTCTAGGTCTTCGTAAACTGGCATTGTTTTATGGTTGACTTACGTCCCCTTGGCTGCAACTGTAACGCACCCGCACTGCTATTGGGGGAATGTGTGGACGCGAACATACTTTCGTTCGCAGACCATGGACCGCGCGAGCTCGAGTTCACCTTCACGATACACCAGTTTACCAGTGCACAGCTCACTGTCCAACGGCACCAGATCCGCAAAAGTTGATTTCATTGCCCAGTCCATCTACAAGTCACAGATGAGGGAAATCGTCCTCTAAGCTGTGTTGGATAAAGCAGTCGTCTTTGTCAAACAGTAGACTACATTTCGTGAATACCCGGCAGAGCGTCAGAAGACACTGGCATTTTCATAGAGCACTTTTGAGAATACAACCATGGCTAATCTAAACAAGAGGTACTATTGCCAACCTCCTAGTAGAGCTCCAGGATCCATCGGTTGATGGCATTTTGCCAAAACAACGCATGAAGACTATTCTTCTGTGCGATAACCGATCCCACAGAATAATATAACGTGTAGTAAAAGGAAGATTTTGCTAGAGGATGGACGCCCCAGTGGTGGCGGACGTAAATTATCATTGTTATCACCAGTACCTCTAATAACTGCCATGACCTCAATACTGTCGTACTCAATGTGGTTGGAGAGTTATCGGTGGTGAGGCGTGCTGAGCGGATGCAGACAGACATAACAGTCAGACGCCCAACTTATACAGGCTACATGCCAGGCTCAGTTA